AAATAAAAAATAAAAATAATTTGTAGCACTCAGACATGCCCCAAGTGGAATAGGGGACAACTAGGAAGATAAAAGTTCTCCACCCCCAGACCAGACAATCCTCCCACACTACACACCCTCACCTTATGGAAAGGAGAGGTAAGATACTGTGTGGATGCTCACTTAATTTTGTCTAAAATGTTTTAATTGGATGGAATGGGTTAAGAGAAGAGAGATGTTGTACATAGTGAGGTCTCTTTTCTTTTCTTTTTTTGGTAAAGACTGCTTTGTTGGTGGCAGTTAGTACGAGTCAATAAATATTGATCCCCAAAGAAGAGCTACTTGTCAGGCTACTGGTCCATGGAGAGCCAAACAAAACCCATCCAAGCCACTGCTGGTGACTAGAGTCAGTCCTGCTTCTTGAGAAACGAAGCCATAGCCAGCTGATAGATGGCATATGCTGTTCCCCCAACTGTAAGAATCATGGTGGCTCTATACAGGAGGGCATCAGCCACCCCAGCCTTTAGATGCACTGGAAGCCCATTATCCTCCTGAAACAGCTTTTGTTTCGCTGGAACTTTATTTTCAAAATGCCTGTGTGAAGCAGTCCTGATGGTCCTCTGGGCAACCTGACGAAGAGCCGGCAGACCCCGCAGCATCCTGACTCGGTGACTGCCTACCAGCCGTGCCGATGAGACCTCCCATGAGGAAAATCGCCCCCACCTCTTTCTATGAGAAGAAAAATAAAGTCCTGCTCCTGCGCTTCAAAATGAGCAAAAACAACATTTTGTTGTTGTTGTTGTTGTTAACAAACGGGAGAATAAAAGGTGAGGAAGCGGAAAGTGGAAACTGTAAATGTAAACAAGTCTTTAAACTTTATTTTATTATGGAGTTGTGGGGTACAAGCCAGGATGAGGTACATAAGTAATCTACGTGCAGGTGAAGTTTGGGCCTCCGACCGGTCGTCACTTCCCCTGGTTTAGGACCAGGTTACGCTTTGTTTCGCCACATGCTCCTCCTCCCCTGGCATGTCCCGTGACGGTTGATCCCTCCCTTGTGCTGGTGTGGTTAATGTTCAAATTCCACTTATGAGTGAGAACATGTGGTATTTGGCTGTTTCTGTGACAGACCAAGTATGATGGTCTCCAATTCCACTCAATTTGCTGGGAAATCCGTGATTTTGGTTAACAACCTTTTAGGTGAACTTTTGCTATGAAAGGAAGCAGGGGATATAAAGGGAGTTGAAGTTTTTTTTTTCTTTTTTGAGTTGGAGTCTCATTCTGTCACCCAGGCTGGAGTGCAGTGGCACGCTCCCAGCCACTGCAGCCTTGACCTGCTGGGGTCAGTTGATCCTTCTGCCTCAGCCTTCCAAGTAGCTGGAACCACAGGCATGTGCCGCCACGCCTGGCTGATTTTTTTATTTATTGTAGAGACGAGGAGGAGGTTTTGGCAAGTTGCCCAGGCTGGTCTCTAACCTGTGGGCTCAGGCAATCCTCTCACCTCGGGCTCCCAAAGTGCTGGGATTATAGGCGTGAGCCACCATGCCTGGCAAAGATTTTTAAACAGTGGAAAAAACTAGATGTATTATCTATTGCTACATAGCAAATGATTCTGAAACCTAGTGATGTAAAACAACAAAAATCTGTTTTCTCACAATTTCTGTGGATCACGAACCTCAAGTGTCATTTAGCTGGGTGCCTCTGGCTTAACTAAGGTTTCTTCTGAAGTTAGGGTGGCAGCTGGAGCTGTGATCTCATCTGAAAGTTTGACTGGGGAAGGTCTGCTTCTGAGCTCACTAGAGTGAGGCTGCATGATTCTGTTCTTCTGGACTGTTGGACTGAGAACTACATTTCTTCCATGGCTATTGCTGGAGGCCTCTCCAAAGGGCAGCTCACAGCACAGCAGCCATCTTTACTCAGGGCAACAGGGCTGGAACGGGCAGCGTGCAAAACAGAAGTCATAGTCTTTTTATAACCTAATCTTGGAAATGGCAGCCCATCACCTGAATCCAGCCAACATGAAAAGGGAGGGGACTAGCTGGGCTCAGCATGTAATCCCACGCCTCTGGGAGGCTGAGGTGAGTGGATTGCCTGAGCCCGCGGGTTCGAGACCCGCCTGGGCAACTTGGGGAGACCTCATCTCTACAAGAAATCAAAAATTAGTTGGGCGTGGTAGCGTGTGCCTGTAGTTCCAGCTACTTGGAAGGCTGAGGCGGAAGGATTGCCGGAGCCCAGCAGGTCGAGGCTGCGGTGGCCGGGAGCGGCCACTGCACTCCAGTCTGGGTGACAGAGTGAGACTCCAACTCAAAAAAAAGAAAAAGAAAAGGGAGGGGACTAAATGAGGGTGTGACTTCCAGGAGATGGGTCGGCCCACTGGAGGCCATTTTGGAGGCTGCCTACAGCAGAGGATATTTGTTGTGATGTGGGTGATTCCACGTCCGGAGAGAAGAATGAAGACCTAGGAAAGCAGAGGAGAACCAGGCAGAGGACCTCTGCAGTTAGCAGTCTACCGCCCTCCCTCCCTTCCTGCCCTTAGACACAAGGATCTAGCTGTGTTGCCCAGACTGGAGTGCGGTGGCTATTCCCAGGCACAGCCTCACCACCAATCAGCCCAAGAGTTCTGACCTACACTATTTCTAACTTGGGACGGTCACCCCTCCTCAGGCAACCTGGTGGTCCCCGCTCCCTGGAGGCCACCATACTGATGCTGAACTCAATGCGGACACCGATCGGCATAGTGCACAACAGCCCAGAACTGGGCTCAAGTGAGCCTCCCACTTCAGCCTCCCGAGTAGCTAGGACTAAAGGCGCATGCCAGCACATCTAGTCCCCTGCCTTTTTCACTGCCATTTCATGACTTGGCTGCCCATACTTGCTGTCTGATTCTGTTGACCCCCTATTATCTGTCATAACAAGACCTGTCACGTTGCTCTGCTTATAACACCATAAACAATCTGATCACATCCCATAGACATAGACATGCACACACCCCAACAGCGCTCCCCCACTTTCCAGTGTTGCCTTCTGCTAAAATATTGGAGAACAGGAAACTTGTTTCTTGTCAGCCTCTAGAGGTATATTCAGGCTGGAGCTTGTTTCTCAAAAATCACCTACCTCCCACTGGAGGGAGGTAGAGCCCTGGGCCTCTGCTCCCTTTCCCACCTGTTACCACTTGCAAGCACCCAACTCATATACTCATTATTTATTTGTTTTTTGAGTCAGGGTCTCACTGTATGCAGGTTGAAGTGTAGTGGCACTATCATCGCAGCCTTGGCTTCCTGGGCTCAGGTGATCCTTCTGCCTCAGCCTTCCAAGTAGCAGGGACTACAGGTCCACGCCACCTTGTCCAGCTAATTTAAAAAATTTTTTTGTAGCAATGAGGTCTCCTTGTGTTGCCCAGGCTGCTCTCAAACTCTGGGGTTCAGGCAATGCACTTATCATTTAATGCTGCCAACCATGACAACCTCAGAAGAATTATATGAGTGACACAGCTGTCCCTTTTTTTTTTTTTGGAGTTGGAGTCTCACTCTGTCATCCAGGCTGGAGGGCACGCTCCCAGCAACCACAGCTTCGACCTGCTGGTCTCCAGCCATCCTTCCGCCTCAGCCTTCCAAGTAGCTGGAACTACAGGTGCGCCCTACCACGACTGGCTAATTTATGGATTGTAGAGACGAAGTCTTCCCAAGTTGCCCCGGCTGGTCTCCAACCCGCGGGCTCAGGCAGTCCACTCATCTTGGCCTCCCAAAGTGCTGGGATTACAGGCTGAGCCACCGAGCTCGGCCTTTTGAAACTTTAAGCCATAGCTTCTCTCTTCAGTCTCTCTAAAATGACAGAAAACAGTCAAAACAAGTCTGGGTGCAGTGCCTCACGCCTGTATCTCAGCACTCTGGGAGGCTGAGGCAGGAGATTCGCTTGAGGCCTGGAGTTTGAGACCAACCTTAGCAACATGGCCCCCATCTCTACAAAAATATTAAAAAATTAGCCGGGCGCGGAGGCGCAAGCCTGTAGTCCCAGCTCCTTGGGGGCTGAGGCAGAAAGATCTCCTGGGCCCAAGTGGTGGAGGCGTGGTGAGCTATGGTCGTGCCACTGCACTCCGGCCTTGGCGATAGAGGGAGACCCCCCAACTCAAACTTTTAAAAAAAGAGCGAGATTAGCCTGCATCCCAGAAACTGGCTTCCCAAAGGCCTGGGTGTCCCAAATGCCAGCCGCTGAGCTCGTCTTGCCTTCGACTCGCCCTTGCGCTTCCCCGGCTCATCGCCCATGGTGTAGACGCCCCGGCTTGGGATGGAGGCCCCCCGGCCCTGGGGCTGCGCGGGCAGCGCCCGTGGTCCCAGCGGCCCCCCGCCCCCCAGGCCCCCTGGGCTGAGCGACGCGTCGA